GATCACGACAGACGCAGACGCAGGATACAGCACGGCATCACAAAGGAAGGGATGATTAACACTGTAAAATACATGAAAAGAATATTGTACTGTCTGTATTATTTTTCACAGACTCCTCCAATGCCAGGGCTGAAAGGAATCATAGCCATAATTTAACACATGCGTGCGTGCACACACGCGCCCTGAATCACCAAATGGAATAGTGTTTGAAGGAGATAACCTCTGGAAGATCCCTTTAAGCTCTCAATTTAACTTTCCGGCATACAAAGCAATGCTATAGTGCACTGTAGAGACCATAAGCCACTCATGAAAAGAGATTAGTAGGAACTGAATTGCTAGCTGATTTTTAATTCCACTCAGACCCAGAGAGGGAGCTTGTTTTCCAAAGGCCCGGGAACCTCTGGAAGGCTCAGAGCCCTTGAGCCTGAATGATAACTGCATGGAAATCACTTTAAGAGACAATGCTCCAAAGGCCACAGAGTTGCTTTCGCAGAAAACACGTCCTTTCCTCAGGATACCATGTTCCAAAGGACTCGAGCGCCCCAACCCGCCGATGCACACAGGCCAAGCCAGAGAAGCGACGTGGAATGTGGGGGAACAGCATCTCCACCTGCGGAGATTCTGTGTCTCCCACACACGCCGGAGGGGCTTGCGTCTGATGGTCTACATCAGCCATGACGGTTTCCTCCTAAATCATTCAAGCTGCTTGCATGACTGGGCCTTTGTTTCTGGAAAGTGGAGATTTCTTCCCTGCTCCAGGGCTGTGGACGGTCTTCGTGAGGCCCATGAACACCCCAAGCTGCCTGTGAGCTGCGTGTGAGGGGATCCCCAGCTCTTCCCAGGTTCTCAAGGACGACGGTGAGCCACAGGAGTTTAAGAACACATCTGACATTGACCGCGTGTATTAAATGTTAACCCATTGCCCCGGGTGTGTGTGTGTGTGTGTGTGTGTGTGTGTCCTCACATGCCAGAAACCTCCAGAGGACAGGACACTCGCTAACAAGCTCTCCTTTTTACTTCCACATTAAAAAAAGAAAAAAAAAAATTAACAAAATGTCATCCCCAGGACACATAAAACTGAACCAGCAAAGACAAAAAAACTTCACAAAAAATCAATTATCCTTTTAGTCATTGTGAAAAGTCTATCTTCAAGCCCAGAGTCTTGGGGAGCGTCAAAGCTCTAGTTAAATTTTTAATAAAGTATAAAGGATAGCGTTAAAAAAGAGACCTTTTCAAAGGTCAGCTGGCGACAGATAAGCTCTCGATATGGTTCCCATCAAAGGGCAGGAAGCTGGACGGGAGTTAGCAGCCCGAGGCTCCGGGGATGGGCCCCAGGGGGGCCTCGGAGACTAGTCTACTTGCAGTTAGACCCTGGTGACGTCGTCGGCGCCAGGGCTTGCAACGACACCTACGTGCCGACAATTCACGCCCGGTCCGAACTTCTCTCTGCCGCCCCGACTCTGCTCCTGTCTCCCAACTCATATGTGCAACTACCTGATCGGCGTCTCCCCTCGAATGTCTGCCGACAACCAAACCTCACCATCCAAAGTCGAGCTGTTGATGTGCCCTTCTAAAACCTGCCCCCGTGGGGTCTTCCCCATCCCAGCTGGTGGCGACTCCATGCTTGCAGCCGGTTAGCCCCGAAACGTCGGGGTTCTTCCTGGCTCCCGTCTTTGTCCACACCCCCCTTCTGCTGCATCAGCAAACCCCACGGCTCTACCCTGAGTGGACGCCAAGATGGGGGCCCTTGTCAGTGCCTCTGGCATACCTGTCCTAGTCTCAGCCACCTCTGTTTGCAGCTCGCATTCCTACCATGGCCTCTGCCCGGTCTCCCCGCGGCCGCCCTCGCCGCTCCTGGGTCCAGTCTGAATTCAGTGCCTAGAGAGAAGCTTGGGAAGCACAATTCAGATCATATGCCTCTCTGCTCAAAACCCTGGGGTGGCCCATCTCCTAGAGTAAAAAGGAAAATCCTTACAATGCCTGTGAGCTCCACCTGGGGCAGGGCTGACCTCTCTGTCCTCACTTTGTGCCTCTCCCTCCCACTGACCCTACTCCTACTCCATGCTGGACTCCTGGCTACTCCTCGGGGGTCCAGACGGGCTTCTGCCTCAGGGCCCTTGCACTGGCCACTGCCTCTGCCTGGAACTCACTCTGCCCCAGAGAGCCGCATGTCTAACTCAAATGCAAGGTCTCAGTGAGACCCACCCTGACCACTCTATTTAAAATTGCACCTCCTTTCTGTAACACCTTAGCATCTCATCAGCCCTGCTGGACTTGTCCATTCTTTATAGCCCCAACCACCTTCAAACATAACATATAATCCACTTACTAATATTATGTTCATTGTCTATCCCCCTGCTATAATGTTAGTTACGGGAGGCTAGGGATCTTGGTCTGCTTTATGACTGACATAACTCAAGTACCTAGAATTCATTACTAAAATGCAATTCAGAAAAAGGCAAGACTGGGGAAGAAATTTACCCTCCAACTTCTTGATCCAGCAAGCTAGATGCTCCCCAGGTCATGGACCGTTACACTGGGCTTCTGATGAAGCCAAATCAGCTGAGGTTCCTACGAGCCACTCAACCCTCATTTCAAAAGACACTTCCACATTCACCATAATAGGGACACAGGTTGAACATGAACTTGGGAATGCCAAGGATCCAGAAGAAGGCCTATTGTCAGGGAAGAAGCAACCTTTGAATTCGTGCTGATTGTGGATCATCAAATGTTGGTGTCATCCCATGCACCTTCCTGCTAACACACTTTTGTTTCTGGCCTTAATCCAAGCTCTCACTGAAGTCAATAAACATTTAAAGATGTGAACTCTGATTCTCCCTAACCTTCTGTCAAAATGAGCCAGGACACAGTCCCAGTTGAGTCCATGGGAACACAGAAGGGTAGAGGCAGGTGGGAGATAGGAAGGGCTTCCTCAGAGGAAAGTTTATTCCTGGCTTCTCAAAGCCCTGTGCTATGAAATCTGGATTTTAGAACACTTTTGTATTCTTCAGGGAGACAGAGAATCACAACGGGATACCTCAAGCCAGTAGAGTCATCTTATGTGACTGGAAACCCAATGGACAGATCTTTATTCATTTTCAACCGGTTAGAGAAACCTTGAGGGGCAGAAAGATCGCTACTATTACAACTGAAAAGACAGGTAAGTACCTTCTCTTCTCTACTGAGTAGGATTTAACAGGTTGCAGCCAACTGTGGAGGTTTTTCAAGCTGTCTTCTGCCAAGCCCTAGGTCTTCCAGTGAGCTTGCTAAGAGTCTGGGGGTGAATGTGGTCAGACTCTTCCACCAGGACAAATCTGCCTGTGGTCAGCTTTGTGTGTTGGGGTCCCCCATAAGACTCGGTCTCAAGGAATATTGAATAGCAAGCTTTAGAAAAACCAGAGAGTCTGCCCATGACCCAAAGGGAAAGAGCCAACAGGGAAATGAGAGAAACACGCTGAAGAAAAATTGGGGGGCAAACCAGCCTATACAATCATATGATAGAAATTCCCAAGACCAGGATACAAATAATAAGGACTGTGCTTCTCATCTAGGGGAAGACCTGAGCTTTATTGGTTGGAAACAGAGGGCCTGGGTGGCTCAGTTGGTTATGCAGCTGGCTCAGGTCATGATCTTGGGGTCCTGGGATCGAGCCCCACATCAGGCTCTGTGCTCAGCGTAGAGTCTGCTTGTCCCTCTCCCTCTGCCTCTCCCCCCTGCTCACGCACTCTCTCTCTAAAATAACTAAATGGACAAAATCTTTTTAAAAAAGCAATTGGAAACATAGTGTTCTAGACAGGTTTAGTATAGTATGTACTGGAATGTATAACATATCAAAATTTTCATTCTTTAAAAATGACCAAAAAAACACACAAAAGTCCTCATTGTACAAGCAGAAGGATATTGAATTACCCAGAGAGGAATAAGTTCGGTTTGGCCATGGCCTTAGACCCCCCAGTATTGAAGCCAGAGGGTCATGGAGCAACATCTACAAGAGCTTCGAAGAGAAGAACGTGCCTCTAGTCACTGCCCCATAATGGGGTGATGGGTTTGGCATTATGAACAGTGCAAAGAGCTCAGATAATATCTGTATCACCCGGGGACATTCCCTCAGCAAGGTTATTCCTAGAACTTGAGTTCCAGCACAACCAGTGATGGATCAGAACGTTGAAGAACTCAAGCCTGAGGAAGTCACAGCCGGAAGGGAGAACAGGACCATTATTAATGCTAATTACCGTTACCATTTTCCAAATGCTCGTGTGGCCCAAGTACTGCACCAAAATCTGTGTCTGTGTGTGTGCATGCGCACTACAGCATCTCATTTAAGTATCGAAATAAAATGTAATTCATTTTGCAAATGACATCCCGCTTCTCTCAGTAGTAGCTTTGTGCCCATTTCACAGACGAGAAAACCAAGGCTCAGAGAGCTCAGGTAACTTGTCCAGATACACGAGCGAGTAAGTGGCTGAGCTGGAATTCCAAGATGTGACCCAAGGAGTTCCTCAGGTTCCCTCAATTTATTTTTTTAAGAATATCTTTATTCTTTTTTGTGCGTATCTGTGTTTTCTTGTCACTCTAAGTGAAGCATAATATTATTTTGAAATAGAACGCCAACACATTTTGTTCAATTAAAACAAATCCAGAGATGCAAAGCAAATTACCGCAGCATGCTAAAAAGGATAGGACTGGCGAGGGCATTTCAGACCGGTGTCCCACAGGAAAGAGGCAGGTAAGGTGACCATCAGTGCTAAACTGTACGGAGCTCAGTATTTTAAAAGGGCATTATGCCGAACCAGAGACATCCCGCGCTTCCACCAGCTGCACCCCACAGTGATAATGCAAGTTAAAAATAAAGTCAAGGAAGATTTGCATTCTGTCCCCGCGCCCCTCAACAAAAGGACCCACATCACGATGGTCGGCGCCCCTCTTCCGGCCAGGCAGCTGAGCTGACAGCGACTTTCCCTCCGGGCCAGTAGCCGGACCCTGTGGGGGCAGGACCTCACCTGGAATGTTGTGGATGGTGATGGCCAAGATGAGCAGGGTGATCCTCCTCCAGCTGCTGCTGCCAGGCTGCGCCGGGTTCCCTCGAGGAGGCACCGGTGAGGCAGGGCCCTCGGCAAGGCCGGTGGCCACCGCCTTCTTCCTCTGATAGGCCTCGCCGTTCTCGCTCTTGTCTGAGCAAAAAGAGCGGGACAGGAAGAGAGAGTACTTTGAAAATGTGCACACTGGTGCTTGGGTAAGCAGCAGCAGGGGGAAGTTTTCCACCCTGGGGAAGGGTCTCCTCCCTAACTTCCTAACGGACCCTGTGTTCTTCTCTTTCTTCCTCCCTCCCTCCCTTCGCTTACTCGCTCACTCGTTCGGCAAACACTCACTGAGACACTCAGTGCCCAGTGTACAGGGCCAGGAAGGGATAAAAAAGATGAAACTGGGGGTGCCCTAGCAATGCTTATTAGGGAGAGACAATATTGAGCGGTGATTAGGAGCTCAGATTCGGGAGCCAGGCTGCCGGGCTCACTGCTGACTCGTCCACTTATGAGCTGTGTGGCATTAAACGAGCTGTTTACACTCTCTGTGCCCTAGTACCTATCCCACAGGGGTTTGCGAGGATTAAATGAGAGGCTCCAGGCAAGGGCTTTGCTGCTAAGTGCGAGGCGTCACGTGTTCTCTCTCTCCCTACGGCATGACACCGTAGGTGACCCTGCTCTCCTGGTCATGCTGCCTTATGGGAACCCATCCACATGCCAGGCCCAGCCAATCAGAATCCCTCCCCGGGGACAGGGGAGGGGGCGGGAGGAGGGAGACTGGAGTTGGGACAGGCCTTGTGACTCAAGTGCAGATTCTCAATCCAAAAGGTCATGTATGGGCAGCCTGACATCCCACGCAGGAAGGGAACAAGGAAGCAACTTGACAGATGATAGAATGAAGCAGATGCACACAGACACGCAGAGACGGGAAATGATGCAGCAGGCCAGCCAGCCAGACGGACACACACACAGACAGACAGATAGACAAATGGCAGCCTGAGTGCCGCAGGACATTCTGATGCTCATGGGCTGACTATGGTATGCAGCCACTGGATTTCATGAGCTAACCAGCTAAACTTCCTTTCAAACCTTCCCCTTGGGGGATATATTTGAAGGGTGTCATTTCAGAGGCCAAGAGGTGATGCCAACTACCCATGGTCTCCTGGGTCAGATGTGCGCATTCCTAACAGAAGGAAATGGCCCGGGTCTGCGGCAGAGGCCCAGACCGCAGTGGTGCGTCTGTGGGAGCGGCGTCCCGAAGGAGCAGGGTCTTGAGCAAATGGCAGACATGTGGGGGCAGGAATGCAAAGGAGAGTCTCTCTACCACGAGTGAACACAAGGACCTGCAAGTCATAACTCAGAGGTCATGGACAGGACACCCGAACGTGTTTGTAGGCTCCTCATCGTGAGCAGCGCAACCATACCTCCCAGGATGGGCTCGCCATCCCAGGGGGATGAGGACTGTCCCCTTTCACACTCAAAGCGTCCTGGTTTGGACAGTAAACAGTGTGGCTTCTCCGGCTTCAGGAAACAGCAGAAGCTTGACAGATACTCGGCTATGCCGGGGGCCATCGCTTGCAGAGGTCATCAACTTGAAGGGTAGGAGGGACTCTCTGCAGTGGTTCTGCTTCCCTTCTCTGTAGATTTTCTGTAAGCAAAGGAATTCTCATCTCTAAGCTGAAAGTTGCAGAAAATGTTTCCCAAAGTCAAATTAAGAGAAAACGGGCAACCGTAAGGACCCCTTTGGCCATGACCGTGGGCCTCTGGTGGCGCCTCTCCTTACTTCTTTGGTGTAAAGCAAGGTAGGGGTCCTTCATCTTACCCTCTCAGGGGCTTCACTTAAAGACCAGAATCTCGCTACATAAACTTGGTCGGGTCTTTGATGCCCTTTTCGGATGAACCCGCCTAAGTGAACACTGCTTTCTATTTCCAAAACAGGAACAAAACAAAAATAAACAACAAAGCCAAAACACTTCGTTTGAAAATCATGTTGTGTTTGTTCACTCAAATCCAGCAGGTCAGCTTGAGGAGGAAGCAAGTGCCAAAGGCAGGCAGACTCAGGCTTCCCCAGGCCCCGACCTGTTCTCTCTCACAACAGCTGAATCTCAGGCCCCGGAGGGAGAAGGGGCCTTCTGTGGATCCTCCAAAATGCAGGAATACCAGCCCCCAAGCGTCAGCGGCCACAGCACACATAACCGGTCTCTGGCGACTGCTGGAAAGAGACACGTCCCAGATGCTGTCTGCATGGGGTGAAGCTAAACACACTCACTGCGTGGTCTCCACACCATGTGTGTGTTCACGTGTGTGATGACGTACACACACACACACAAGCACAGGACTGTCACTTGGTACCTCACAGATCACACAGTCTTTGTGCACATATGCACATTTGTTTCTCAACACCCAGAGGGTGTCAACTTTTAAGCTGACAATACTTGACGACTCAGGCTGCAGAGGCTGGACAGAAAACTGAGTAAACATCTGGGACCTCAAGTCCATGAACACTGAAGATGCAAGCAAAGCAGGCCCGAGCGCTGTCCAGGAACTAAGCCACATGGTGGCGGGGGGCCGGGGGAGGGGGGCACGCGCCTTCCTCCCGGACTAGTCCGAAAATACCACCAATTCACTGGGCTTCCTTTGAGTACACACACCTGACCCAGCCCTCCAATGTGCGTTGATGGGGCGGTGGGTTTGGGATTTTACAATTTAAGAGAGAACAGACAGGGTAGACATGAATAATTCCTTTAAATCCAAGGGCAGAAATGTACACTGACAATCTCTGAAGCAGGCGCTTATTTTTGTCAGGGTCACAAAAGGATCGGACTCTGAACCTCCCGCAAATAATGCACAGAGAGCAACAGGGATGGGGGCACCGTTAGGGAATTCCAGCGGCGAACGATCGAGAAGCACAAAGAGTTGTTAATGGAGGTAAAGCTGCACGCTCCACCTGGGGGTCCCAGCATGTGAAAGCTGCCATCGGCGCCTTCCCTAGTGGGACATGGGGGGGTTGTGAACACCTGACGGGCTTGTTCAAGGTAAATAAGCCACCATTCAGTAACAGCCTCTAATGAGTCTGCAACGAGGAAAATTAGTCCAAATAAATCACTACAGAGAGTACAGATGCCTCCTGAGCAATGAATCTTCTTGCCTCTCCCAGCAAGGCGAGTTCAACCACTGCGTGCCAAGAAGCAGAACACCCAGCGCCGTGGGCAAAGGGTGACCACCTCACGGAGGCAACCGCCAAGCCTGGTGTGGGCCACAGTGACAAGACCCTGTGAGATTGGCTGAGAGGGAAAAGGTCCGGGCACTTTTGAAGTAGGATTGGCAAAGAGGAAGGACATTTAGAGATGGAAGAGTCGATGTCAGTTCAGAAATGCAAAATGGTGTCAGTGACATCAACTAATCGGTGGTTCTAAGAACTTTTCCTCAATCCTTCCAAAGGCCCCAGAAACCAGAGATCATTCCCTCTAACAGATAAAGAACCGGAAGAGCTGAGAGGTGGAGTTAACGGGTCCCAGGTCACACAACCTGTCCCAGATGAATTCAGGAGACAAGCCAGGTCTTTGCCTGCAGAGGTGACCTCTTAACCAGGGTCCCATTGTTGACTTGGGGTGGGGGGTGGTGGAGTGTTGATCTGCTCCTTTGCTCCCCAAGAAGGGCAGTGAGAGCAGTCACTGCCGTGACATTTAGGGGCTCGAAATCCCAGATGTTTGTCGTGGAAATGTTCAGGGTGCAGAGAGGGTCTGGTGAGTTTGCATCCCGTGACCCCAGAGGTGGGAAAGGCTCTGTGGAGATCTCCTGTCTATTGTCATTCCCACTCAGAGACAAACTTGGAAAGGATGCACAAAAACAGTGCTTCTTAACCCCTTAGCTCTACTATTTCCAAGTGTAAAGCAGCTGTAAGTAGAAAACAGTTATTAATACCAAGCACGGAACACAGGGTTACAATTCTTTCAGGAAGGTAGAAGAAAAGACTTCAAAACTGCCCATTATCCAAAGAGCTCTTTTTTTTTTTTTTTTTAATTTAGGCTCCAGCATCTAAGAATCCACACAAAGAGACTCACTGCTGGGGCTCGGCCTATCGTCCCCCAATTTCATCTTTTCTGGGGAGGCACGGCATTGCTGCATTTGAGGACCACAGGGGAACAGACAGACCTGTCCAAGGCTCATTCTTCCTGCTGAATCACAGGGTGAACTTATGTGACATTCGCACAATAGCGCATGTGAGTCTCATCCCAGTACATCGTATTATAGGGCAAAGCTGTCCCTGGTGCTGTGGGCACAAGCTGGGGGACCACCACGAACCCGGCTGCGTGGGGAAGACCCATCCTCCTCAGGGTTTGACTTCCTCCCCGGGGAAGCGAAAGGTGCTGAAGTCTCTGGATCAGTGGCTCTAAACCATTGTGCATCAGCAACTGCTTTTGAAAGTTCGGTGGAAGCTATGATCCTCTCTCCAACAACAACAACAAAAATACAATTTTGAAAAAATTTTTGAATCCTTATGGATTCAAGGACCTCAGACCGAGAACATAATACAAGATGAACACTATGTTAACCTTTGGTTTCATAACCCATGGGCCCAGTCCCCCAGGGACACAGGATGTTGTCCCTCTGATGATGTAACCAGCCCAATGATGGAACCTCAGTCCCCAGTGAATGTGGCAACACTAATTAATAGATCACCAGCCATGAGAGCTTTAAAAATATCCCCAAGACATCAATGGAAATGATCTGGTTGAATTAGCACAAATAGGCAAATCCTCATCTGCAAAGCACAGAAAACTTCAAACCTCTGGAGAAATACCTTTTTTCTAAACCCCCACTTACAAAATATAAAACGAAGAGTAGTCAGTGATACATATTCATTACGTACTAGATATGCACAAGCAAGATCAAAAGACTGACCCAAAGCAGGGAGAGAGGAGGATCTATTTACTTATATTTTTCCTTCCTTCTTGTTTCCCAGAGAATCAGAATGATTTGGGGGAAGAAATTCAATTACCATCGTGAGTGTGACAAAGCTTGCTAAGAATTTGGTCCTGTTCTTTAATAATTTATGGGATTAGCATGACCTCCTTTATGTAATTAATGCTTAATTTGAACATGAAATAATGACTCCACAGAGGGTAGGATTGGCAAAGAGGAAGGAC